GGGGGGACTTTCAGTCTCAGGGTTGGGGGCAAGGGGAGCACTCCCCCAGGCTGATTATCATTTTAGGGGGACTTTGAGTCAGTGTCCTTTCCTATTTCTGAGGACTTCTCTGGTGGTGTTGACAGAACCCCTGCTCAATTTGAAGGAAAAATAAGGCTACCTAGATGCCTTCTATTGCTAGATCGGGTATTGGGAAGAGCCCAGACTGGTACTGAGTGTGGGTGGGGAGTCCACCAAATGCCCTGCCACTGTGTGGGTCCTCTAGTCTTGGGTTTTCTAACACCTTTCTACCTTTCAGAGTTCTCTTTTGGTTGCCTCTTGTGTTATTTCCAAAGGTTTTAGTCACGCTTACTTAGCAAGGAGGAACAGAGACTAGTCTGCACCATCCTGCATGGGCCAGAAATTCTCTATATATGTTTATATAGGCGTGAGATCTCTCTAGAAGGTTACACAAGGCACTTCACTGGAGAGGTGACCTGGGGCATATGAGATAAGGAGACTTTTTAAAAAATGCCTGTTGTCATTTTAATCAAATGAATAAATATATTATCTTAAAAAAATAAAATATAAAAGAAGAAAGAAGGCTTCTAACTCAGCCTGTTGCCAAGAGCACAGCCAAAGATTACACTAGAGGTCCAGCTGCACATCCATCCAACAGTTGGTAATTTAATTAAATTTCTCTGACTTTTAATTTCACTGTACTGTGACTGCTTTGATCCAGATCCCCAAATATAAGACTAATATTCTCAGTAGATTTTCAGCTTGCTCATACATCTTGAATAACTTGCAGAATACAAATGTGTAATTTAGATAGAAGTAGATGCTTTGGCAGCATACTAGTCCCCTAATCAGCTGAAAAATAATATTTGTATGACATTAAAACAAAATTAATAGCAAGGCGCTAATTACATGAAAAGACTTTATGTGGCAATTATTAAACTAGCAAACAATTTGGCATAATTAATGCCTTAACATATGACCTGAAATTTTAGCTTATGAAATTGATAAAGATAATTAAAGGTCACATTTATAAAGGAGGTTTTAAAAATTACAAGGTAATTGAAGATCACTTTCTTCCTCACTTTGGGGAGCATTTTAGTAGGTATTAAATCCACAATACAATTCTTATGATTCCCACCGTACCCTCTGGCATAATGTCTCAACTTGAAGCCTTAAGAGTTAAGTTTAGTGACCTTCAGCCAAGGATATCCATCAACAGGGGGCAAAATGGAACAGCAAAAATTTTTCTCTCCCTCCCACCTTAAGTGAAATACAAACTAGAAGATCCACACTGACTTTGATCAGATTCTACCATCTTCACAGTTATTCAGATCCAATGGCAGTTTGTACCACTGTCATTTTTACTTTAATATACGCTTCTTGAAGGCATTTCAGTTCCCACAGTTTACCACGGCGAAGGTTCTATCCAAGGCCAAAGAATTTCCCATTAGTGGATGAAAATGGAGAATTCAGTAAATAAGGGTGGGCTAGCAATGTGGAAAAATAAATAAATCTGGAATCCTAACTCATTTCTCATGCCAAGGTAAACTCCAAATAGATCAAGGATTTAGTATAAAAACAAAATAGGTAGGGATTAATATCTTTACAATATTGTGATTGGGAGAGGCTTTTTAACCATGACAGGAAAGAACAAAAGCCAAAAAGGAAACAAACAACACATTTATCTACTTAATTAAACATTTTAAACTTCCATATGTTAAAAAACAACCATAAATTTAAAAAACCCAATTCAAGACCAAATCAAGCAGTAACTCTTTCATTTATCTTTTGATTCATGTTTTTTCTCATAAAGGCACAGCTTTATTCCTCAACAAGAAAATAAGAAAATAATCGGAAATGCACATGATGACTGATGTACAAAGGTATTAAGTATAGAGGAAATTAAAAAATTCCTGTTAAATAATAGCTTGTAAAGTGACTAAATAAATTATAGGATAAAAGGCTGCAGCCATTTAAAATCAGAATATTTAATAATACCAAGATATTTTTATGATAGGACCATTTTCTTTTCTCTTTTATATATATTTATTTATTCAGATTAATATGAAGGTACAAATGATTATGTTATACTGTTTGTCTTTCTAAGGTAAAGTTCAAGTTGTAGTTGCGCCCTTCCTCCAGAGGGGGTGCTGTGTGCCCTCACAATGTGCCCATCAGGTGAGAGTTTACCAATCCCCCCTCCTGCCTCCCCTTTTTCCTTTCCCTCTTCCCACCTCCCTCCAATTGAACATACTTGTACCGGCATGTAGGACCTTGTTAAAAAGAAAGATAGTTGAAGAATATAGATGAATATGAGTTGATTTTTAAATTTCTTTTCTAGACAGACAAAAAGACTAGAAGGAAACAATATCAATAGTTACTATGAGAATTCTGGATAAGTGCTACTGTCTTCATTTTTGGTAATTTGCAAACTTTCTACAACAGGCAAATTATTTTTGCTTTCAGTATCTTTTTCATT